GTAAACAAATGTTGCTTTAAGATTTATCACTTCACATAAAATTAAAATGACAGTGCTAGGGTCTCAGACTTTTATTCTTGAGATAGGCACTTGATATTTTTGGATGTTCGCTCTACATTTGTATTCTATATTTAACAGTCTCCAATCAGAGATAGTCCTTTTTTTTTTAAGTAAGTTTTTAAAAGTTTATTATATATAGTGTGTGTGTGTGTGTTTGTGTGTGTGAGACAGAAAAAGAGAGAGAATGAACCTGAGCATGTTCCGCCTGCAGGAATGGAAGGTAGAGGGAGGATGGCTGTCCAGCATGGGTTCTTTGCCTATGGATAGGGCATTCGACTAGGATGACTGGGGCTTTGTCTGCTGGACCTTCTCGCTGGCTGGAAGGCAGTTGTTACATTGCATTTGATCTTTCCATTATTTTTGTGAGGGATCGATCTATTGTGATTGATATGTTGAGGATCTCTTTACAATGATAAAAGCAGGAAGGTGCATATACCTTTCTGTTGTTCTAATTACAACAGGAAATGTGTACCTTGTGACCAGATTCTGATTGTCACAGAGGAATCCAAGAGTCAGAGAGAGGACCTGGAGCTGTGTTACTAATTGCCATAGTTCTGCTGTTGTACCCCAGAGACGGTGACAGCTTTTGAAGACCGACTTTATTTAATGGTGTATGTCATAGAACTAGTGACAGTTGTTATGCTGTCCGTGTAGTCTAAGATATTCACTATTAAATAAAGAAGTTATTTTTCCTAATTAACAGATTTGTCATTTTTAGTGTTTTATGAGGATTCTGAGTTCTGTATGTCAGTGTTGTCCTATTGTAGGAAGTAATCTTTTAGTGGTTAATGTTGAACTCTTTGGATGTTCCAGAGTCTGGTGTTCAGAGTTTTATTTTCCATCTGCTTTTGGGAAGTAGACATTTCAGGGCATAATGTTGCCAAACTCCATTTGGATATACCAGGGGTACATAGGTAAGGGTAGGAAATTTTAAAGATTGTTCTGTATCCTGATACTTCTGCCACTCTGGAGCCAGTCCTCTACTGGCTGTTACCAGACTTTCTCCTTCTATAGGAGTAGGAAAGCATGTGAAATGAGTCTTTAGGCCACAGCTAGGCCATACAGTGCAGGAGAGGTACCACAAAGCAGTGTGTTAAAGTTTAGAAGCGAGTCTTTCTTACTCATTTTTTATTTGCAAGGAGTCATACTGTGTCTTTGTTAAAGAATACAAAACAGTGAAGGGGGAAGTTATCTGGGAAAGCACCATATCAGTTTATATGGTTGTTATGCAATTACCAAGTCAGCTGATGCCAGTGCCTCTGGTGACATGCTTGGCACACCAGTCGCTAGTTGCCAGTGCGGTAATATTGTCAACTTCCTCCCAGTATTATTACCTTGTTGTGTTCTTCAACACTGCTACTCGTGTCCCAGCTTCAGAAATCTGATTGGGATCATCTTAATTACTTTTTCAGTTGGCTGTAAATTCTTTCTTTGCTTCAAAAGAAATCTTAGTTTATTGTCTTTTTTTGTTTTGTTTTAATTTATTTTATTTTGAGACAGAGTCTCTCAACAAAGCTCTAGCTAGTCTGGAACTCACTATATGTATCCACAAAACTAGTCTGGAATTCAGATCCACTTGTTTGTGCCCCTCTAGTGCTGGTTTTAAATGCTTGCGCCTCCACGCCTGGCCCACTTTTGAAGACAGGTTAACAGTCTTTTTTAGTTAAACTCTGAATAAAGCAGTCAGAAAAGTGTGATGTTTTTCAAATAAAAGTTCTAGGATTGAGTTGGCATGGATAGCCTGAGAGCCATTGCTCCTGGTGTGCTTCAGACATGTAATGTAGCAGAGATGGGACTCCCAAGAGCCATTGCTCCTGGTGTGCGTCAGACATGTAATGTTAGCAGAGATGTGACTCCCAAAAGCCATTGCTCCTGGTGTGCTTCAGACATGTGATGTAGCAGAGATATGACTCCCAAGAGCTCTCTGCAGCTTCTCTAACTGCTTCAGAAAAGATAGAGCAAATGTTCTCATTTCTACTAAGGGATTGGATGTTGTCTGTGGCAGTCACAACTCAAGGTTAAGAGGCCTCAAGAATCTCTTTGTTTTGTGTGTGGTGGTATAGCACTAGGGAGGCAGAGTGGGTGAATCTCTGAGTACAATAAGGATTGCTGGTCTCTCTCTGTAAGGAGTTTAAGGCCAGCCAGATCCATTTCTTTCCCCTTCCACCAGATCTTGAGTAGACAAAGATAAAGCCCTCGTAGTTTTTCCACTCTACCATTCCAGCAATTACTGGATTTGTACCTTTTCCCATTTCTCGATCAGGAAACAAATTTTAGGCTTGCAGTGAAAACAAACAAACAAACAAACAAACAAAACAAACAAACAAAAAACCCCAGGGTAGTGCTGATTGTCTTTAATAGTTTGTACCCAACCTCCTGGTTTTCAAGTACTACCTGAGGAGGCAAATGGGGAGGTCATCATGGATGCTGCTGTGGTGGCATGTCTTACAGGAACCCACTCAACTGGTCCCTGTTTGCTGGGTGGAAATGTCTTCCTACCGCAGAAAGACATACTTTTTTAAACACTGTGCAGCCCTACAACCAGTCATACCAGTCACCTACTTTCAGAGTAGGACTGCGTTGCTCTGTGAACCAGATCTCTGAGATTTGGGAAGCAGACCCGTTCAATGGAATGGTAATTCCATGGCTTTAACTTTCATGCTAAAGAGAAAATCATGTGAGATTTTTATTTTATTTGAAATAGCTGGATAATAAAGTATTCAGTGCTTTGTTCTTTAATTTTTCTGCACCTCACTGCTCTGCATATTTTAAGAATGTGAATCTGTTTTTTAAAATGAGCTGTGCTTGGTGGTGTAAGCCTTTAATCCCAGCACTCAGTAGCCAAAGGCAGGTGGATCTCAAAATCTAGGCTGACTTTGTATATGTAGTGAGTTCCAGGATAGTCAGGGCTGAGTAGAGAGACCTCCTGTCTCAAAAAACCCAAAAATGACAAAGAGGAAAGAGGAGGAGAAAGAAGAAGGAAAAAAAAGAAAGAAAGAAAAACACAAGAAAACTAATATTTTGGGGGGGGCACATAGAATTTATAAGCAATTGAAAAATTGTAATTAAGGTGAGTATTGTTAGATTCTTAAAGATGGAACATGATAATTTAAAATTAAAACTTTTCTTTTCTTTTTTTATTATCATTTTATTTTAAAAGAAAACAAACTATCTTTTTTCATTTTACATACCAATCCCAGTTCCCACTTTCTCGCCTGTAAGTTTTAAGTGAGCAGTTAAGAGCTCGTAGGACCACAGTGTATGTGCTGACTTATGCTGTTTGTATTTATTCAAAGCATACATAATAGTGTTGTAGATAAAAACTGTGGCATTGATTTGTCTCAGCATGTGATACTGTGTTAATTTGAAATTTGCACTGGTAATATATTTTTGAGTGTTTTCCCTTGAAACTGAAGATGTAATGCCAGACTACCTGTGAATCACCTGGCCTTCCTTTTAAGAAGCCATTCATAATTTTCAGTCATTGTTCTGTATCTGGCATGAAGGTATCTTTTAAGGAAAGGTTGGTCTTACAGACATTGCTTATTGGCTTTGTATTTAATAGATATACATACTGGTCATTGTCTGCCACCAACATTTTGGGTGTTCATTTATCAAGTAGCTAGGAGTCACTTCTTCAGTAGGTTAGAATGAGTTCACTTGGCATCTTAAAAGTTACATGATGGAACAGAAACAGAAAAAGATATAGTTTAATGAGGCAAAAACTTATATACATATATTTTTATACTTTGCATTGGATGGGTGTTACATTTGCTAGAAAGGGGAGTCATAATTGTTATTTCATCATGGTTCTAGTTTCTAGAACTTAAATGTATTGTGAAGTCACCAAGAGAATGGTTTAAAGCTCTTGAGAACCAGGCAATAGGTAACCTAGGATAGTTTAGAATTCAGAGACAATTGTGGACTTCCAATCAGATTGGTCTTGAGCTTGAAGGGCGCCCCTATGGTTTGCTGCTAAGGATGAGGCAACACAAAAAGGTAAAGAAAGATGAGGGTATATGTAAGTAAGACACACATGGGCTAAATTTAGAATGGGTTTTATTGTGCTTTGTTTTACATGCTATCCTCAAATTACATGTTCTTTTCCTTCCAGCACTTGAGAGACAGAGGCAAGTGGATCTCTGAATTTGAGGTTAGCCTGGTCTACAGAGTAAGTTTCAGGATAGCCAGGGCTATACAGAGAAACCCTGTCTCAAAACCCCCACCAACACCACACCCAAAGTTAATTTTCTCAAAGATATTACATTTAATTTGTTAAAGGGAAAAAGATAAAAGGAAAATCTCAAAGTCCTACTTTCCAAAAGGCAGAATGGTCAGAATGGAGTTGTTGTCCTTACATCTTTTTAGTTAACATTTATTTTGTCTTCCAGTAAACAACCTTTAAAAAAAAAAGTTAGAAAGTCAGACCCAAAGGGAGTCCACCATTTGAACTGTGCCTTGGGGGCAGCTTTAGCTTTGTTGCACTTACTTGTTTATATGGACTCTCGGTATGTGCCCAGGGCAGCATGGCGCTTGTGATAACCTTGTCTTGATTCCAGGCATGAGCCATGATATCTGGCTTCCCATTAGTAGTATTTAAAAATTATTTATTCTTTCCCAGTTTCGCTCACATGCTTCTTTGATAGTATCTCCTCTCCCTGTTGTTCTGTTATTCGCCTCCTCCAGACCTTCCCAATGCCATTATTTAATGAGCACAATACATTTACATTATAGGTGACAGTTTTCAACAAGTCACGTTTTGTATTTAAATGAAGCAGAATGAACTTGTAAATGGTGGATTAAATTACCTGTAGTTAAGCTATCTTTATGCTAATACTTAAATATTTATTTAATATATTTACTTTATAAATTGTTGGCAATTTTTTTGGTATATTTCTATGCAGTTTTCATTCTTGTTTTAAATCCCTTTCTTCCTGTAGGAGATAAAGATGGCAGCAAGGTGACCACAGTGGTGGCAACTCCTGGACAGGGTCCTGACAGGCCACAAGAAGTCAGTTACACAGACACTAAAGTGATTGGAAATGGGTCATTTGGTGTGGTGTATCAAGCCAAACTTTGTGATTCAGGAGAACTGGTCGCCATCAAGAAAGTTTTGCAGGACAAGCGATTTAAGGTAAAACCTGGTGTTTGCATCTTTGTTTCTATATATTTGTTTTTAATTATACTGCTCTTACCCACTGGGCTATATCCCTTCCTTTCCTTTTCCTGTTCTCTGCCCTTTCCCTTTCCCCTTTCCTTCCATTCTCCTCCCCTTTCCTATGTCTGTACAGTCCAGATTGCTCTGAAACTCAAGACACTCCTATGGCTCAGCCTGCTCAGGGCTGTGATTACAGGTGACGGACTACAACCGGCTTGGACGTAGATTTCACTGATTAGTCACTTAACATTGTACTTCCTGAGTGATGAGAACCAGCAGTGTACTTTGTGGCCGTTTCTTTTTTGTTTTACTGTCTTGTTAAATCTTAAGAAACAACTGCTGGGGTGGCGGTAAAATTTTATCAAGTTATTAGTCGGTTTGGAGAAAAGTATATCTACTTCACAATTTAGTTGGAGATACTTCTCCATTTCATTGACTGCAATATTTTTGATTACACTTATTTTAGTTGTATGTATAGGGTTGAGGGGAGACATTTATGCTAGGGGCACGTGTAGAGGTCAGAGGCAAATTGTAGCACTCTTGTTTTTTGTACTTGTGAAACCTGGGGGTTCTCAGGCTTCACAGCAGGCAGTTTACAGAAGGTCCTGGATACTTCATAAAGCCTAGCTAATCCTTATATAGAGTTAGCATCTGTGATATAACATTTCAGGCTTTTTATTTTTATATAAAAAAGAAATGGGTTGGACAGTGGTAGTGCACACCATTAATACCAACACTTGGGAGGCAGAGGCAGGCAGATCTTTGAGTTTGAGGTCAGCCTGATCAATAGAGCGAGTTCCAGGACAGCCAGGGCTACATAGAGAAGCCTAGTCTAAAAAACAAAACAAAACAACAAAGAAATGACTTTCTAGAGCCAGGTTGGTTAGAGGATAATGACACCCAGGGGATTTAGGCGTGCCTACTTGAGTTCTTGGTAGTTGTTGATGAATTTGGCACATTATTTGGGCTACGCCTAAACTTTTCCCCTTTGTTGCATTTTTAATTGGAATTTTATCAAGCTTATAAATTAGGAAGACTGGCATTTCAAATGTTGAATTGCATAAGAAATTCAATGTATAAGAATACCAATTCATTTAAGTCTACTTTTTGTGTCTTTAAGTTTTTCTTACAGGGGCTATTCTTGATGAGTTTATTCTTGAATATTTGTTTGGTTTTGTTATTATCTACTTTTTATCACTTACATATTAAGAAGTGATAGACTAACTTACTCAAGTTCTTTACATTAACTCATCATTATTTGTAGAATTACTCCTTGTTCTCTTTACTATATACAAATAGTTGAGGCCAAAAATAAAATTTGCTTTGTTGACGGATTTACTTTCCTTTTTCATAGTAATAATTTCTCTTACAATTTAGGAATCTGTCATCTAATGTGAGAGATTTACATAACTTAGGGACTTATATAACATATTTCGGACTACATTAATGAATTAGGTTTGTTCAGAGGAAAGACTGGATAGGTAGGTAGGTAGGTAGGTAGATAAGTAAATTGGCCTATGTTGCTAGTGGTATTGTGAAGCAATTTGTTTCAGTACAAAAATAGGATGGGAGGTAATACCATAGAGAAAAAGAAAACCAAGAATAATTATCCATATTTTAGTAATCAGCAGAACTTATAAAATAATTTCTGATATAGCAGTTCTATTTTAATAGTATTTAACCTAAAATCTGAATGTCCTCTGTTCCCCGCCCCCCATTGAACTGTAATACATTACTTAGTTAAATATAGTTGTTGTTTTGTAGGGGATGTTTGTGATGTGGGAATAAACTTTAGCTAGTTACCTGATTGATATAGGAGCCCTTTAATGTTAAGACAGACTGTCAGTTGTTCTAAAAAGTGACTTTTAGTGTTTGAATCTGGCTTTTACAGTTTGAGTATCAGTAAACTGCATTTTAAATTAGTGATATTAGTTCCATTAACTATTTTAGTTTTCCTTTGCAGTAAGTTATAGGTTTTAAGGCTCTTACTTGGTTTCTCTTATAGTTGAAATAGTGGATATGAAATCAGTACTGTTTATTGTGAATATGTACTCCTATCTATAATGTATTTTGAAAGATAAAGAGAGATGATATCTAATATTCTTAGGGATTTGAATTACTACACGTTGGTGGTCACATGGGATTTTAGTCTCTCCAGACCCCCCACCCCCACCCCTCACCTTTTAAGGATGTCTTTCCTGTTTGTTATACTTTTTAAATATATAATCTTATTTTCAGGCAATTTAAGTTCTGTGAAAAACTTAATTGCTGGTCAAATTGATAGAGAAATAGTCTTTATGTCCTATATAGAAATGTTTATTGACTCATAGAATTTACTTTCTGTTTATGAACTGGAAGCTGAAAGATACATGTAAGAAAAACTGAACATGTAAGAACTGAAGGATTGCCCTTGTAGAGCCACACAATCATACAGGTAGGACAGTCTACCCTGAAGCCTCAGCCCAAGCACCTGAGGACCCCACAGAACCACATACCTTTTCCATGCCTCCCAACTGCACATCTGGTTTCTCAAGATCTACTCTTGCCAACCTTGGGCTGACCAGAGCTTACTCGAGATAAAACAACTAGATATAGAGAGACACCAAAAGACAGTAGAGGAGAGGATTAGGAAAAGACATGCTTTGACTCTTGGATATGGTGTTTGTTTGGGTAAATAGCAAACTCAGAAGACTAGAGCTAGAACTTGGAGCTGCCAATAAAAGTCCCACCTCTCCTGTATACTGTGTATGACTAGACTGAAAGAACAGTGATTTCAAGAAAAAGAAAAACATCTAACTAGCAAACTACTTCAGATTCAAACAAGTCCCAGTGCAGAAATGAAACAGACATGAAAAACCAAGAGAACATGTCTTGAAAAAGTTCATCACATAGTAATGAACCATTCAACAGAGTGATTATAACTATGGCCGAATAGCTGAAAGAACAACAACAACAACAACAAAATTGAATGAAATAGAACCCAATTCATGATAGAAAAATTGAATTCAGTAAAGAGAGAGAATTGCGAAAGAAAAGTGAAATGATGTTGGAAATAGAAAACTCCGAATAAAAACCTCAGTAATGGAAGTCTCACCAACAGAAGGCTTACTTGGCAAAAGGAATCAGGACTAGAAGATAAAGTAGAGAAAAGTGTGTGAGAAAGTTAAGAGAAGAAAAAAGGAAAGAGCAACATGGGCAAACATTGGGACACATGAAAATGAAAAGACCTAATAGATGAATCTTGGGCATAGAAGAAAAATACCATGGTAAAGGCATAGAGGTTGTTTTCAATAAAATCTCAAGCCTAGAGAAGGAGGTGCACATCCTAGGTACAAGGGACCTAGGAACACTAAATTGACAGGGCTAGAGAAGAAACTCATCAGGACATAGGCATTGTATGCTGCAAAAGAGCAAAGGTCAAACACACACAAGTGCGCACACACACAGCCAGAAGGTCTGGGAGAGATGCATCCAAACTCTGACAGACCACAACTATAAACTGAAACTATTATACCCAACAAAACTATCCGCTAAATTTGAAGGAGACATACATTTTTCTGTGATTAAAAACAGTTTTAAGGAATTTATGACCACTAAGGCAGCTCGACAGAGGATTCTGGAAGGAATACCTCAATCTGAAGAAAAGGGTAAAGACACTGGTGGGCAAAAGGAGTAAATAAGTGCTAGAACAGCTAATTCACAGACGTCTAAGGAAACAACACAGAATCTACAAAGTGGTAGGTAACACATCTCTCAAAAATAACTCTTAAGGTAGAGTAGCAAATTGGATTAGAAAACAGAATCAATTTTTGATGCTTCCAAATATACATCATCATCAACAGCTGATACCACATTAGAGGAAAACTTGATATAGAGTTTGTATCTAGAATATACAAAATACTGACAAAAACTTAACATCTAGAAAACCCAGTTAAACCTGGATGGTGGTAGCAACTTAGCATCTAGAAAACCCAGTTAAACCTGGATGGTGGTAGCAACTTAGCATCTAGAAAACCCAGTTAAACCTGGATGGTGGTGGCACACGCCCTTAATCCTAGCATTCAGGAGGCAGAGGCAGGTGGATCTCTGAGTTCGAAGCCAGCTTGATCTACAGAGCTAGTTCCAGGACAGCAAGGGCTACACAGAGAAACCCTGTCTCAAAAAACCAACCAAACAACCAAACAAACAAATCCCCAGTTAAAAATTGGGGCATAGAGACTCGTCTTGGTGTAGTGCATGCTTTTAATCCCAATACTGGGAAGGTAGAGGCAGGTGGGTCTCTGTGAGTTCCAGGATAGCCAGAACAAGGTAGGGAAAGCCTATTCAAAGAGCCCACAAAAAAGTTGGGAGTGGGCATGGAAGTAAACAGAATTTTCAGAAGAAAAAAGACAACTGGCTGAGAAATAATTTTTTAAAATGTTAAATAGCCCTGCACCATCAGGAAAATTCAGAATTAAACTATGAAATTTCATCTTATTCATATCAGAATGTCTAGGATAATTTTTTTTTCTAAAAAGGACAACAAATGCAGATAAAGATGTTTGTAACAGTACAAACTGCTGAAATTAGTGTAACATTTCCTCAAAAAGCTAGAAATAGATCTACCACACTATCTAGCAATGTCATTCTTAGATATATACCCTGTCCAGCTATGTCCTTCTTGGATATATACCCAAAGGACTCTTCTACAGAGATGCTTTCTCATCCATATTTAATATTATTTTCCTTTTTGTAATAGCCAGGGAGTGGAAATAGCCTAAATGTCCACCAGCTGATGTATGGATAATGAAGATGTGATATACATTTACATAGTGGGATCCTGGGAAAACAAAATCCAGATAAACAGTCATTCTGACTGAGGTAACAGACTTGGAAAGATCAACGTTGCACATCTTCCTTACTTCAGCTGTGACCAGTGGGAGCTGCAACAGTGACTGGCCTGGCGAGACATTCCCTGTGGTGTAGAGTGGCAGAAC